ACCCCCTCCTCTACTGACCCCCTGCTCTACTGACCCCCTGCTCTACTGTCTGTTGAGCTGTCCACACACACATTTGGTGAGGACATTCCTCTGCTGCCTGAAGTTTTACCTTCACCCGACAAACCAAAACCCTCTAAACAGCTCCGGCTGCTCACCAGCTCTTTTGCGGGGAAAGAACCCCGGCTCACTGGTGACACACTTTTATTTTGTCGAAATGTTTTACTGAATAATGAATGACGTTTCTATTCAGAGACATGTTTAAGCCGTGAATCAAGAAAGGGGGCACTTTCACACGGGTGCCATTGAATAAATGAGCCTTGGTTTAATTTTCGATGCACATAACTGGTAAAATAAACAGCTGAATGGCAGGAAAACTGCTCTACGGTTGATGATCCAGGCCAATAGAACAATTATTCCAAAAGCAAAGATTTATAATGTGTGGCTGTCCATCAAAGAACCCCGTGGGGGAAAGCTTATAGTGTCCTTAAAGCATTTCCTGCTCTGGGCTTCTTCCTTATTGGGAGGAGAGTCCTGTGGTGACAGAGAGAGCAATAATCTTAGCATGGAAGTGTGTGTGAGAAGTCGCTGGTATCGTAGGCTTCTGGATACTCAGGTGTTTTGGCAGCTTCTCGTCTGTGACACTCACTAAAGTCTGAGGTCTGCGATTGAACGAAGAATCAGGCTGCACGGAAGGCAAAATCAGCTCCGTCTTAACATCTAAATCCTGCAGACTAACCGATTCTGAGAGTTCTGAAACTTCCCTTCTGTAATCAGAACGTATTCTTTCTGAATGCATCTTGATGGGGGAGGTCGGCTGATGGATGCTCGCTGCTCTTTACCCAATCAGAACCTGATTGAGTTCTGTATGTGAATGGAAAACAACGGAGCCAGCTGCCTGTTCATCGATGGGCCCCGCCCAGACTCCGACTTCCATCGGTTTTTATCGCTGCTAGTGCCTCTAAATCAATGTTCAAATCAGAGGTCGCTCTTAGACATGTTTGGTTGTGAAGTATGTGGGACCTGCCAGCTGTCGTCGCTCTTTCTATTTTTGTCCCAGCGCACCATAATTATTGCGAGCCCTTCGTAATTTGGTAAACACTAGCGCTCCTTCCACAAAAACACACACATAATGGTGCTGGAACTGTTTGAGACACTGGGTTTGGCTCCCGACACCTTTTTTCTGGCCACTAACGCCACCTCCGTAGTGAGTTGGCAGCCGGCT